TTTTGATAATTTTTTTTAATATAAATCTAGGTAATGAACTTGTTATAAGTGTTCATATATGACTATTATGACTGGCTGTAACAAGTTACATCTTATGTGACAACCATAATTACCCAAGAGGATAAAAAACTATTGATTTTGTTCACATATAGACAATTTTTTGTTCACATTCGACCATCCAACTTGTTAAAGTTGTTCATATAATATTGTTGTTTTAGACATTTAAATCGGTGGTTGAAGTCGTTTATCCAACTTGTTGAAGTTGTTCACATAATACAATTATTTTTAAAATCGAGACACTTGGTTCGATCTAAAACAAAAACATAATTTGTTTCTTAGGATGAGATTCGAGCGAGACGATTAAAGTTTTATTTATGATTATTATCCTAATGGAAGCTTGAACTCAATCCTCCATTATGTTGGGACTGGTAAAAGAATAGCATAGTGAGAAACAAGGTACGAGGTTTAGTAAGTGGGAGAGTAAGAGAGTGGGAACTAATTGAATTTTCTGGTTTTGATCTTTTGTAACAAGTCTAGCAAGCTTAAAATCACCAAGGTAGGGTTGTAGGTTCAAACCCAATAACACATTCATGGCTTTCTCATCTACATGTAAAATAATGAACACACAATCATGATGTAGATACGCGAGAGCATGAGCCATGCCTAGTATAACCTCGTTCATACTCTCCTATTTTTCTCCTTGTTTCCTTGTCACTGCACCATGGAGGAACGAGCTCAAGCTCCCATTAGGATAATAATTGTAAAACAAAAGTTTAATTGTCTAGTTCGAACCCCACCCTAAGAAACAAATGGTGTTCTTCTTTCAAATCGAACCAAATGTCTCAATTTCAGAAATAATGGTATTATGTGAAAATTTTCAACAAGTTAGACGAACGACTTTAAGTACCGATCTAAATTTCTTAGACAATGGTGTTGGATGGTTGAATGTGAACAAATTTTTTTCTAGATGTGAACAATTTTTTTTTTTGCATAGATGTGAACAAAAAAATTGCATAGATGTGAGCAAAATCAATAGTTCATCACCCTCTTGGATAATTGTCTTTGCCACATATATACCATATATATGTCACATAAGCTGTAACTTGCTATAGCTAGTAGTAATGGTTATACATGAACACTTCCAATAAGCTTGTTGTTTACATGTGTACAAAAAAAAAGAATTTATCAAAATATGAACAAAGAGAAAAGGTAAGTACCATGATAAGTCAATTTATTACAATTATTACATATAAATATTCCATAAAAATTACTAAAATGGAAAAAAACATAAAATGTCATGTGGAAAAAAATTAATTTAAAATTACTACAAAATGACATGTGTCACAATGAATGTATAACATGTGACAAAAACTATTTTTTATTTATTTATAATAGTAGTATGATAACCTAATTCAATGATGTGTGCGTTTACGTTAACAAGAGAAGTTAAATATACTTCTATTTTTTGTGTTTATTTTTTTTATTTATTTAAAATAATAATATATGAAATCTATTAAATCTCTTTTTAATATATATATTTTTTATTTTCATGTGAAAAATTAAGGGAAAATGACTCTTGAGGGTAATTAACTTTTGCGTTTGTACTCATTTGGTCCATTTTTTTTTTTTTGTATTCAATATACCATCGAACTTGTTGTTGGTGTTTACCATAGCCCTTTTGACCGGCTTTTGACCTGTGATAGCTGGTCAAAGGGTTATGGTGAACACAAACAACAAGTTCGATGGTATATTGAGTACAAAAAAAGGAAAGGGACCAAATGAGAACAAACGCAACAGTTGGTTACCCTCCTGATTCATTTTCCCTTTACTCATTTACAACAAATCCCACATTATCTCCTACTGATATTAATGACTTTATGAGATTCATTGTTGCTTCTCTTCAAAACATAACTCACGAAAGGACATTATTCATGCATGTACAACTTTGTAATGCACTTGAATATTTATTAGGGGAACCTTGACTAAGTAGGCGCATTTCATGACTACATTTACATTTGCAATCAAATAATTTATCGTATCATGGATTCCAGACAAGTCTACAAACGAGTGGAATCACTTGTGCTGTGATTTTTTAGTTTACTTAGCTTTAAGATCGAACTCATGAGATAAGATATAACATCAATATGTACAATATCATGCTACTTTTGTAGACACATCACCATAATATTGTACATATTGATGTTGTATCTTATCCCATGAGTTCGATCTTAAAGCTAAGTAAACTAAAAAATCATAGCACTTGTGATTCCACTCGTTTGTAGACTTGTCTAGAATCCATGATACGATAAATCATTTGATTGAAAATGTAAATGTAGTCGTGAAATGCACCTACTTAGTCAAGATTCCCCTAATAAATATTCAAGTGCATTACAAAGTTGTACATGTATGAATAATGTACTTTTGTAGGTTATGTTTTGAAGAAAAGCAAGAATGAATCTCATAAAGTCATTAATATCAGTAGGAGATGATGTAGGATTTGTTGTAAATGAGTAAAGGGAAAATGAATCAGGAGGGTAACCAACTGTTGCGTTTGTTCTCATTTGGTCCCTTTCCTTTTTTTTGTACTCAATATATCATCGAACTTGTTGTTTGTGTTCAATATAACCCTTTGACCGGCTATCACAGGTCAAAAGCCGGTCAAAAGGGTTATGGTAAACACCAACAACAAGTTCGATGGTATATTGAATACAAAAAAAAGAAAAAGGATCAAATGAGTAAAAACGCAAAAGTTAATTACCCTCAAGAGTCATTTTCCCAAAAATTAAAAACCATCTTATAGTCATCGTGGTAGTAATGTCTTGGAGCCCGGCTACCGGCCGAAGGTGTCGATCGAGAAAGTCTGTTTCTACTTATCTTGTTACTCATAATAAAATAATGACATGTGAAATCTACTATTTCTTTTTCTTAATTTTCTCTCTTGATTTTGATTTTGATATTTGTATTGATTTAATGAATAGGAACAAAAGGTAAGAAAATATTTGATTTTTCTTGATATTTGTCTTTTGACACTTCCCTTGATATAATAAATAGAAAGATGAGTTGGAACGATATTTGATTTCTGAATTAACAATTAACAAGGGATTAAAGTCACTCGGTCCCCATATGCTACCAAGAAAAGAAAAATAACATGGGACGAAGCTTTTTTTCCTGATTAAATATAGGAACCACCAAATTATAAACCATCCAAATTTTGCTAATAATAGTAAACATCTATGTAAAAATTTCAAAGTTTGATCTAAAGTGCAGAATCGTGCAAAATGCAAGTTAACAAGGGCCACAACTGTAATTAATGCATAAAACTACATGAACTAAAAATGTAATTTAGTATTTCTAAATTAATAGCTATAATAACCAAAACTATAATTAATGCAAAATAAAAAACTACAGAAGCCAAAACTGTAATTGTCCTAAAATAAAAGCTATAAGGATTAAAATTATAATTAATAAAAACAAAAACCTATAATGCTAAAATTATAATTACTGAAATTAAAAATTACAAGGACCGAATCTGTAGTAAATGCTAATTAAAAACTACGGGACCAAAACTATAGTTATCCTAAATTAAAAACTATAAGAACTAAAACTGTATAATGCAAATTAAAAACTATAAGAACCAAAATTATAATTATATAAATTAAACATTATAGGGACCAAAACTATATATATATATTTTAAATTTAGAAACTATAAGGACTAAAAATATAACTAATGCAATGATAAATTATAAAGACCAAAACTGTAATTATTGAAATTGATAATGAAAAAGTTTATAATTTATAGATATCTAATTTCCCCTTTTAGAAATTTAAAAAAGGAGTGATTACACAACCCCCACAAAAAACATGTCAATAGAAATTTAGGTTCTCCTCGAGTGAGATAATTGTCACCGATCTCTTACTTGCGCCTAACAAAAAAAATCTCTCATTCTCTATTGCAATTTGATCACATTTGACTATTTTCTGTTGGATTTTCATAGTGATATTAATTCATGTGGATACATTGGTATTCCTTTTCCTGTTTGATTCTCATGTTTATCTTTGTGTGCGGATGTTGATTTCTTATAACGGATAGCTACATGTTTGTGGTTATGGTTATGTTTACATTATTGCTTCATCTATTTATGTTTACTCAAGCCACTACTGATATCATTATATGTAATGTATCGTGATTACTTGTATGCAAATTTAGGTTTTCGGGTTTACCCAAGTCATAGTAGTTGCTTACATATATTACACTCTTAGAAATTTACAATTTAAAGAATTGAGTTCCGTGATTATTTTCATTCTCAATAATAAGCATATCCATAATAAGTCGTAGTTTAATGTAAGAATTGAATGAGGTGAAATATATAATTGACATTCAAGGAACTTAACGTTATTATATGTTAGCTTTATGAATATAAAGTTCGGTAACCATTGAACTTTTCAACCGGAAAAAATGAACTTTTTAAATTCTTAAGTTCTTAAATATATGTTCCTAAGATCTAATGCAAGATAGAAATTTTCGTTAAGATTGTTTGAAGAGTGGAATGATGAATGACATTCTATTGAAATGTAAAGTTATGAAAATATCTACCTAATATGATTTGTTGGACTAGATAAATACAATAAATAAGATACATATCACTAACAGAGTTTAAATTATGCGGCATTGAATTGAAAATTTGACTATAAATTACAAAAAACTTTTGATCCAACAAAAGGTGCATATGAATTGTTACTATATTCAAAACGGATATCATGATTCATGCCTCATCAAGTTTTAAACCAAATTAGAGTATTGCTCCCAAATAAATATTAGGAACTAATGTCACAATTTGGATTCATTTCGGTTACAATTTTTGCTCTCAACCCAATCTTTACATTCGGTTACTCTCAACTGTTTCTTTGAATTACACGTCTATACACTACTAACATCTCGTCGAAAGAAGTGATTCTATCAGGGTACAATAACAATGGTGCAAAATTAGGTTATATCTATCATTCTATTCCGCTTCCAGGCATAAAATTATGCTTTCCAAAACATAGGCTGTTGATCTCAGGAGTTGATATGGGAACCAAACACAGCCCTTGCTCACGGATCCCGACTTCTGCTTCCTCATTCTGTTTCACATATGATTGGAAATCAAAACCAGAAAGTATATATATGCACTCATCAAACTCTAATCCAAAATTCGTATATTACCCAAAATTGCACTGGTCGAACGTTTTCTGCTGAATTCTGTGTTTTCTGCAGCAACTCCTGTTCACCAACGAAAATCGTTATCTAAGATTAATAGCATAGTGTTATGCTCCTTATAAATTAGCATTTTAAGGAAATTAAGTATACCTGAATCCGATCATGAAGGAAATTGATAGAGATATGAGCTTCTTGAAGTACAGAAGCTGTGTCCGTCTGCACATGAGATTCATTTGTTTGATTAATTCTTCTAATTAATGGTCAAAACAGGATATTAATATTATATATATCTAGATTTTGATTTGAATATGAAAGAAAATGGAGAAATTAAACGAGTAGAATCTGAAACATCCAAACAAAGAATAATGTTTAGGTAAAGGCTGACCTTGCCGTAAGGAGAGACGAGCTTTTGAAGGGCTGTGATTTTGTCAGCTAGCTTTTGGCTTCTTCTCATAGGCACCTGAACCAACTATTTTATACTATTAACTGGTCAAAGGTGTTCAAATTACTATTATGTACATGTCATTACAATAATTAAGCACAATATACCCTTTCTCTCAAACGTCCGTTAACGACATGTTGTGTGAGTTTCTTGTTCACATTAATATTTTGATCACAACCATCGTTCATACGTTTCCTAGGATTCTGTGTTGCCTGGAAACTCTAAATTATCAGAAATGAACTAATGAGAACGACATTTTGTATATTCTTAAACTTAAAGATCACTACTTATATTATAAATTATTGTTGCGAAACAAAAGAAATTAAAAGTACTTGTAGACATTGCCAATCTGGGAGTTTTTCTCTTTGGTACTCCATTACTATCGAGGGGTATTGAAGAGGAAGAACATCGGTAATTATATGATTAGGCTGCTGCTGGTAGTAGTTGTACGATTTTGGTGGTTCCACATGGAAGTCGTTGCTACAGAAATTTCTGTCAATATGTATCTACTTATTTAGTTATATACTATATAAGATTGATCACAACTAACAACAATGCATGACTCATGCATTGGATTAATAATTGTTCTACTTAATTTCATAAATGCATATACATGTGTATATTAAAATTTTTAAATATACGTACACTCTGTTCTCCTCTGTTATTTCTGTAAGTTGTTGATTGAAGGATGAAGATGATGAGGCTTCATTCATGTTCCCTGAATATTGAATTTTTTTCTTATGTTAGTTAAATCAAAATATTAATGAACCTGAATATAATATAGTATAGTATATCTTTTTCAAGAACCCATGAAAGTGTTGAGAAAATGTGCTCACCAAAGTTATATATCTGAAATTTAGAGAAGGGTAGGATGCGGTAGTTCATCCGTGACCTGAGTTTTTGTACACGTGGCTAATATATTTAGCCTGCAAAAAGGAGGAATGATTAATTGAGAGCACATGATTAACATTAATCACCAAAAGTGCAATTTAGTAAAGTGTATCGAATCCATGAGAATTCTAGTGGTGTTTTGAGGAAATGGTGTAAGAGTTGTACCACAAATTCAAAATACATATGATGAAAATATGGGAGTTTGATAAGTTCATGAGTACTGCATGGTCATCTATATAACTATGTATCAAGGGCGGCTGCCCCCTGTGAAGGTGTTTTAATTAATCTTGGTTGACTTGGCTATATCTATTAGTTTGACTTGTTTAATTTAGTTGTGTTATTTAGATTAACCATGTAAACCGTCCTCTTTGATTATTTTACTCAAATTATTAATTTTAAACCAACAAAAAGAATTATCAATTATGTACATAAAGAATCATCATTTTTTTTACAACACACTCCCTATAATATTACTCCTAAACTACTCTTTTCATTTTCCGCAATACTTGAACTCTCAATCTTAGGGATGACAATGGGGCAGGTTTGGGACGGATTTTGGTAATCCCACCCCCGTCCCCAAATATGAAAATCGATCCCATCACCGACCCGATTCCCAACGGGGACCTGTTTACCAAACACTATTGGGTCTATGGGTATCCCAACAGGGTAATGAGGATCCCCATTTAACATTCAAATTAAGAATAATTTTGATGCAAAGAGACTACAAAACCATGAGATTTAGTGATGCAAACATAAATTTATATCCAAAATAATTTTGATAATTTATAAAACCATTAAGAACATACATATTTGTTTTGATACATAAGTGGTTACTAGTGGCAAAAAAAATAAAACCACTAGCATTCATAAACCATAATATCACTATTACTCTAAATACTATGAATAAAAAATATCAAAACACTAACACTACGAATAAATAGGAAGCTATCTCAAAAAATTGTCATTAAATCGTTCACAACAAAGAAGATAACTTAATGAAATTAATATATATATATATATATATATATATATATATATATATATATATATATATATATATGGTTTCAGGTAACGGGTTTTGATTTCGGTTTTGGTTTTGGATAATCGGGACGGATATTTTGTTTACCATCCCCGTAACTAAACTCGCGAAAATTTTCTAAAAGCATACCAAACCCGATCTCGGCCCCGATTAACCGACTCCAAACCCGACCCTAATACGTCGGTTTTTACCATCGGGTTCGGTTTCTTTTGCCATCCCTACTCAATCTTTGACTGAGTGACACCTGATACCGTTGGACTACAAATCCTTTGGTTAAAATGAAAAATATAGACACTCTACTATTAAACAGTTTCATTTCTTTCCCGCGAAACTTGAATCATTAACCAATGAGATAATCTAATGAGCTACAAACATCATCCAAAAATTATTCAATATAGGTTGCATCTCTTGTCTCAAACATCGGTTTAAAAAAAAATGTACTTCTAGCTAAAATGAAATTAGCATATTTTTTTTGTATAAATATGTCATAATTACAAAACCTTTTAAACATGGAAAACATATTGGCAGATTAAACGATTGAGATGACCCTTTTCATTTGACCAATATTAAAATATTGATCGTTTTGAACCTTTAGATAACCTAATTTGTCATCTTTAATAAATGGTTTTCGGCAGTTTTGAAAACGTTGATGCTATATGTTTTGTTTTATATTGAAAATACGAAATAAAAAATTTGATAAAAACGCAAAAAATAATTTATTTTTGGTTGTCTTCTTTATCCAGCGCAAAGGCTACTTTGTCCATCGTGCATGGTCTTTTGCGGCTTGTCACTGCCCTAAGTATAGATGTGTTTGACTTCGATTAATACAGTTGACCAACCATCTTGATTCCGGTTGAATTTTTGCATTATTTTTCATTAAACAAACAATATGATTTTTTTTTTCTTGAGCTAGATATAGTATTTACTTATATTTAATGACAACAGAGTATATAATAACTTTTAAAAGCATTTCAATTTATAAAAACTCTTGTCGGCATGAAGATTAATTATATGCCATATTTTTAGAACTACAACCACAGATAAAGTGGAATTTTGTCTCGAACACTTAATGCAGAAATATAGTCCTTCACATTTCAATTAACTATCCTAGGTGAATTCATACCATAAAAGGTAGACCGTAGACATTAATTTGGTATCTATACATTTAACATAAGAGAATTACATAAAGTAATAATTTATATAATAAGAGTAGCATAATTGTTTAATTATTACTTAGATAAAATCATAGATGTTATGAGGAGACAACTGATTATCTCGTTGTTAGAAGATAGATATGATCAATGTTAATGATCTGAGGAGGAGAGGATGTCCGTGAAGGAAGTAAGAATATAACATTGGGTTAGACTCGAAGGATTTTGCGCTAAATGAGGAAGTAATGTAGTTTATGATTCTATTCCTTTTATTTGTATGTGTTTTGCTTAGGTATTACTCTCTTATGCTTATTTTTTCCTTTGCACCATGGTACATGAATGTTCACCTAACGTTAGGTTAGACTTGAAGAAAAAAGCGATGTTTACTCAATGGACAACTTGTTTTATATTACCCAAGTTTCAATTAATCGACAAAATAATGTAACATAGAATGTTCACAAGATGATCTTTTACCGTTTTTAACCAGCATGATAAATGGTCGAACCATCAATTTAGTTGTTTATTAAAATAAATAAAATGTCTTTTACATGCAATTTATTCCTGAAGAAATAGCTATTTGAGATAATTATAGTTTGACCAAACCAAACCCCAAGCTTCTCCAATAATGTATTCTATAAAAAATCGAATGAAAAACTCAATGAACATTTGCTATCCTCACGATTGCTAATTCTTTTATAATTATTTCTTAAAGGGGGGCGATTATATTAAAATCAAGCTAGCACAAACAAGTATACAAAATAAGATTTAGAGAGAGAATAATCCCAAAGGATTACAATACCAATCTTGAGTGATTCTAACCCGAACTTTAGAACATCTACAACTATGAATGCATGTTTATTATTATTATTATTATTATTATTATTATTATGTTTCAATTAATGTGGAACAATGACACCACACTCAAGAGCCTCGTCATGTGTGGAGCCAACCTACATTCTCTCCACCTTCTTCTATTTTGACTGTGAATGCTTGTAACAGCTCAAAGTTTTCAGACAAAATTTTCATTTTTAAGTTTCCCAAAAACATAGTTTTAGTACCAACTCATGTCAAATATAAATGTCAAATACATAACATCATAAAACAAAGTCATAGTATCTCAGAATAAACATATACCCTCTTTAACAAACAAGTGTGTACAATCATGTCGTTGCCTTCTCGCGATCTTGAGATGTACCTGAAACACATTTAAACCAACACTATAAGCACGAAGCTTAGTGAGTTCACCAAAATACCACATACATAAATAATTAGCCTCTCATTGCTATGTCTCAATAAGGACCCTTCGGTCATGTGTCTCAGTGAAGACCCTCTGGTCTCACGTTTCGGTATGGACGTTCCGGTCATAACTCAATATATATACACAGAATAATATAACAGCATAAGTCACAAAGACGGAATACACATATATAGCAATTAAGACCCTCCGGTCAATAACATGAATAAGACCCTCCAGTCACACATAAATTACCACACGGTAAATATAGTGAGAAGACTCACCTCACGTAGAAAAGCAAATAAATCTCGCACCTGAACTGCCGGTCTAGACTCCGCCTACAATGTGCCACATATAACTCTAATTAATAAATAATATTAATAACCTCATAATGCTAGACCGAGTCTCTCAACTAAATCTCAGAAGGGTAAAAAGACCATTTTGCCCCTCCTTGGTCAAAGGCCCACAAATCAACCTAAAACTCAAAAGTCAATGAAAGTCAACACCCAATGCTTATGTTGGGCGTACTGCTGGCTAAGCATGTGATGGGGGGGGGGGTTTCAACTCTATGCTGCGTGTAGCTGGGAGTACACACGACGTACTCCTCTGACTCCCATTTCCCACTTCTCTTGGTCTTAAGACAAGTATTCTAACTATAGATCTGAGCTAAATAAGGTCTCTTAATTAATAAAGTTGCCGACTTTAAGCCTTTGCAAGGCTAGTCTAGACCCAAACCCAAAAACTTTAACTTTCTCAATACAAAAGACCATACAACTCATTCATGGAGAGATCTAGACGTACAAGCACTCATTTTTATGAATCAAGACACTCTAATACACCTAAAAGGACAGAAGAATAGCTCTGGAGTTCATCAAACTCACAAAGTTCCATAGTTGGAACATAAAACCCTAAAAAGGACCCAAAACAAGAAGTAGAATAAACAATGAACAAGTTTTAAACTTGATACATCTGGAAGATGCACCAACTGAAGAAGAACTCAGATCCAAGAGCTAGAAGCACCAACTATCCTTCCTTCAAGGCTTCTTCTTCACCAAAATCTTCACAAGTACAACCAACAAAGTCACAAACACTCATACAAGCTATAGGAACGAGATTAGGGTTTAGGGGAGGTTGGAGGATGATAATGGTGACTAGAAATGAGGCCATCATGTTCCTTAAATAGGGACACAAGAAAATATTAGGGTTTCTCACTGAGCCTAGTATGACCAACGTACCCTTTGGTACACCCAGTGTATTAGGTGGCCTCCGCGACAATGCTAAATGCATGAGTATGCTGCGCGTACCCATGCGTACGCCGCATGTACTCAAATGTCACCTTTTACATAATAATGACTAATCTTGACGTATAATAAAAAGGTTAATGTCTGAGAATTTATACCTCATTTTGGGATGTTACAACGCCAAACTTTAATTTTATAAAATTTTTAAAATCTTTTATCTCCTACATATATCTATTAACCTTAACCATTTTTTCATCTGATAATTTTTGTGAGTACACAAAGATATATTGTTTACTAAAAGATATTCATATAAATTAATTGTTAATCAATTTTGCACATAACATAGACGCTACATTTGTATAAAAACCCACTTTATTATTTGAAACATGTTTGAAAACCAATCTTATTTGATTTAGGAACTAGTTTGAAGCCGAACCGATGGTTTATACCGATTTGAGGATTTTACTAGTGGAAGAGGTCTAAAAGCTGATTTTCAAACTTATAATATATGATTTTTTACTTAACTGACCATCAAAATCTCGAAATGTCCCAATTTAGCCACCAAAGTTCTAATCATGCTACATAAGACACTAAAGTCGTGATTTTTTTTCCCATTTAACCATTTTTAGTTTTGATGATCTAGCAATTGAGTCTTTATCAGGGATGATTAACAACTCGGAGGTAGATTATAGGAGTGGAAACAATAGAAGCAGCTGACATGTTCGTGTAAAGTCTAAGATTAGTTAAGTACCACCATTCATGTAACGAACCAAAAATCCTGACCAAAAATATCATTTTTAATTTAATAAATAAACCACAAGTGTAAACCATTCATTCAAAACATATTTGGTGTCTAAAACAATATTTTATTTTATCAGAGTAAACATCCCAGGCTAAAACTCCTTTGGTGTGTGTGCCATGTGATTAACCCGAACTCTTCCCTCCGATACCGGAAGTACCTGAAACCAAAACTGAAAACCTTAAGCACAAAGCTTAGTGAGTTCCCAAACCTACCACATACCACA